ATTTGTAAATGACTAAAATATCCTTGTATACAAAAATACTTTATTGCTATGATTTCTCTTTCATATTTCTATTTAGTTCTAAAACAATTTTGGATTTCATTTCTTCTTGCAGAAGGTTGATATCTCAAATTTTCTATTTTCCTTATCATCATCTTTTTTCCTTCATGAAATCCAAAAATCAATTTTGGGTTTCTTCATGGTTGGAGGCCGCCTATGTGTTGAAAATCTTAGATTGCTAGATTCTAGATTTTTTTTAGCCTCTATCCTCATAAATATGTTAATATGTGCTTGATTTATTGAAAATATAGTTATTTGACTTGAAGAATCAATTATTCATATCATTGGGATCTTGGAAATGGAGGGCCATATGTATATAATAGAAGTACTTTTTATATTCATTTCTTGTTTGTGGGTTTCCATGGAGATTATGGAATGACTGGAAATGCCACAGCTCTTGCTGGTCTAAGGATGGTGAATGTTAAAACTTTGTTTACATTAATCTCAACCAAACATGCAATTATTACTGCAGTTAATGATGTAAATTCTGATNTAAATGACTAAAATATCCTTGTATAAAAAAATACTTTATTGCTATGATTTCTCTTTCATATTCCTATTTAGTTCTAAATCAATTTTGGATTTCATTTCTTCTTGCAGGAGGTTGATATCTCAAATTTTCTATTTTCCTTATCATCATCTTTTTTCCTTCATGAAATCCAAAAATCAATTTTGGGTTTCTTCGTGGTTGGAGGCCGTCTATGTGTTGAAAATCTTAGATTGCTAGATTCTAGATTTTTTTTAGCCTCTATCCTCATAAATATGTTAATATGTGCTTGATTTCTTGAAAATATAGTTATTTGACTTGAAGAATCAATTATTCATATCATTGGGATCTTGGAAATGGAGGGCCATATGCATATAATAGAAGTACTTTTTATATTCATTTCTTGTTTGTGGGTTTCCATGGAGATTATGGCATGACTGGAAATGCCACTGCTCTTGCTGGTCTAAGGATGGTGAATGTTAAAACTTTGTTTACATTAATCTCAACCAAACATGCAATTATTAATGCAGTTAATGATGTAAATTCTGAT